GCTGATAGTATAGATTTGTATCGAGAACGTTTTCCTGATCAAAATACGCCTTCGCAAAGTACCTTTTACAGAGTTGTGAATGATTTCACTAACACTGAAAATGTGTAATCAAGAAAAAGAACTCGGCGAGCAACTATAACTACGGAAGAAAAGGAAATTGCGGTATTAGCTAGCGTTGAGGTAAATCCTCAACTTAGCACTCGACGACTTGCAATTGATGCCGGAATATCGAAGACCAGCATTTTAAGAATATTAAAGCGCATTAAGTATCATGAGAAGGTAATTAAATTTCATATTCTTAGTATTCTACTTTTGAAACTGGTTTTATTATTTATTTAATTAAGTCTACTAGTTTCGACCCATGGCCATCTTCAGAGACTCTACAATGAGGTTAACAATCGGTCAGTTTAATTATTTAACAAAAGGTCTTGAAATTTGATATGAAAGTCGAATTAAATTTATAAAAATACAAAATAAAAACAAATAAATACAAAAATCATATAAAAATATAAAAGTGTACTTACAATGTCATAAGAGTTAACTAAGATGTCATATTGCAAAATATTAAGTGTAATTGTAAATATTTTAAACAAAATTACTTTGAGGTTACGACAAACAACAGATCGACACGTTAAAAAGAACGTTCTGAATCTAAATATAAAACGAGTGCAGAAATAATACAGGAACAAGTTTTTTGGTGTTATGACGTTTCAGTACAAAAGTCGTAACAGAAAAATAAGAGAGAAAACACCATTTTTGTAGTTAAGAATATTGGTTTTGTTTCTCCATGAATTATTTAAACGTTTTCTATCAAAATGTTTCGCTTGTTCTATAACGTCGTTTAAATAAATAATAAAACCAGTTTCAAAAGTACAATACTAAGAATATTAAATTTATTTACCTTCTCACGCATCAAACAACTGGTATAATGGATTTTAACTATAATTATCCATTAAGTATCACCCATACCACATTTCATTGCATCAACAGCTTTATGGAGGTGATTTTGAAAATCGATCAATATTTTGTCAATGGGCACAAGAACGGATGCGGTTGGACGTCAATTTCTTTGGTAACGTGCTATTCTCGAATGAGTCTATTTTTACAAACAAAGGACAAGTCAATAGACATATCATGCACTATTGAAGCGTTGAAAATCCGGGATGGTTGCGTGAAGTAGAACATCAACGACCTTAATGTTTGGTGTGACATAATTGGTGATAAATTAATCGATTCATACTTTATTGATGGTATGCTGAAGTACCGAAATTTTTTAGATGACGTCTTACCAACGTTACTTGTAGATTTGAGCAGGGAAGAAAGACAAAATATGTGGCTGCAAAATGATGGGTGTCCAGCACGTGAAGCTTTAGATCGGGATTATGTTGGGCGATGGATTGGATGGGGAGGTCCAATTTCCTAGCCTGCCAAATCACCTGATTTAACAGCTCTTGATTTTTTTTTGGGCGTCCTTAAGGGTAATGTTTATCGCGAAGTACCGACTACGCCAAAAAAACATGAAAGAGCGGATACGAAATACATGCAGAAATAGTAACCAAGAAAACCTTTTAAGATGTAAAGAAAGTTTTAGTAGAAGGGTTAATAAATGTATTGAAGTGGATGGGGAAATATTTGAACATTTATCATAAATGTTATACCTGTTGTTGATTAATAGTATAGTTTAATCATTTTTTTATGAATAAACAATATTTAAAACTATTTGAATAAAAAAATTATTTAGATTTTGTCTACAAAAGATGTTTCGCCGTCGTACTGGCAACACCATACGGTAATTTTTTCTTTCTTTTTTAATTATTTTACTTTTATCCATAGATTCAGATTTTGCAATCAAAAACACAGGGTGGCATTTAAAAAATTGGTCGTGACAACGATGGGGCAACTTCGTACAGAACAACTTTCATTTGGTTCATTTTGATGTAACGGGAATAACAGACGGGTATAAAAGGGGTTGATTTGACTCAGCAAGTCAGTCCCCGTCTCAACTGGTAAATTGAATATTGTAAAGCTTGTAAATATCGTAAATAAATTCGTGTTCGCTAAAATAAAAACCTGCTGCATATTTTATCTGGCCACCTCCATCCATAACAGAAAATCGCCGGACCGTATAGATTTGTTATATGTATATGATAGTTACAAAAAGTGACAAAGATGTGTGACATTGTTTAATTTTGATAGCCGGTATATCGTCCGTTCCCGGACCTTTCGAAACGTTAATACCTTCTAGTGCTTCCTGAAGCACAGCCTGATCACAGCAGACAACGTCTGTACCATCGAAACCAGCCGTAACATCAGACACAATATTAGCTTGGTAGTTAGAATAAACGAAACAAAAAAAAATAGCATATAGTAAACAGATGGACAATGTCGGAAGCGTCATTTAAAAAAGCAAACCTAACTTCTTTAAAAGATTCAAATGTGATTATTTGTTTTACCTTTGAATCTAGTTTTTAACCACCGTTATTACTTTGCTACATAAGCCAAAATTATTACAATCATGCATCATTTATTAAAGTCGTTTTTGCCCGAGTTTTCTTATTTCGAATACAAAGGTTCTTTTACATAATTTTGACAATTTTTATGCATAAGATGTCAAATTATATGCAAACAAAAATATTTATATATAATTTTCGTTAATTTTTGATGTTCCAATTTTGGAACACTGGGAGTGAAAGGATGCGGTGTCTAAATATTTAATAAACAATAAAATAAAAATTAAAGTAACGATATATTAATTTTCTTTGCCATGATAACTCTTAAAACAATAATCATGAAGGTTTACAACACATTTCTCGCACATTTTCGTAGCGTTTTTGTGGCAGTGTGCGTAACGATTTTGTTTTTGGGCCGGCATTATCCAATGATTTAGGCAATCATATCGAATTAGGGCATGAATTCTGTTCGCCAGTGGTTTTGAAGTCTTTGGACGTCCTCAGTTAGCTGCCGATTGACTATACTTTTTTAAATAAACTTGAACAACTTCTCGCCTGAATTTCAAAATATCTACATTTTCATTTCCTGCTTGTATACGATAAATTTGTCAGGAATTGTGGAGGCAAGTATCTAAGCAGAAGGCAAACAAGGTCCACCACCATTTTTTTGATCGAACGCTGATTCTATAGTTTTCAATGTTTTGATCCATTCTATCAACTCCCCCCGTATTTTTGTTGTACTGATTTGTTGCAATAACATGAGGGGGACAAACATGCCCTTCTTTTTCTCGCTTGGTATCCATCTATTTACATGTTCGATTGGGTTGACAGGAACTCACAGTAAAAACAGCGCTGTTATCATTCCAAGTTGTCACAGTTTTGTTTGTAGCTTTATCCGTTAGGTACTCATACGTGCCCCCTTGGTTTCTTTCTTAAAATTTTGCTGGGAGTGATAGGGCATTTCTCAATCCTGTTAGGATTGATGGTTCCGGTGTATCCAAAGCCTAAAGTTTGACGATAATTCACCAGTTTCAAAGATGAAAATATCTATCAGAGTAAATTTTAAACAACACGTGTTTTGGAAGTTTTTACATTAATGAGACAACAGTAGAATCGCCAACAGCCAGTTGTTCAATCTGAGGTCTGTTCTCTTGTTTTCCCTGATATGGTTCAATTTGAGTCAGGTATCCTAATGGATCACACACGCTCCATATCTTGTACCCATATCTAATCGGTTTACCTTTGATGAACTGTTTGGCTCCATGTCGACCAAAGTAAGAAACCACGCTTTCGTCAATGCTCAGTTTTTCATTTACAATTACATGTGCTAAGTAACGTTTTTTAAGCATGTCAAAAAGAGGACGCAATTTTGCAAATTTATCAGCTTTAGGTAGATTAGTGTTATCGGCACAGTGTACATACTTCTTTATAACGTCAAACCTGTTTCTTCTCATTGCATTTGCGACCATTGGATTGTATGTATCACTGTCAGTCGCCCACAGCATACCCCATCGAGGAACTTGAAGATGTCCTGACAAGAACAAAATGGCAACGAAGCATTCAATTTCGCCAGTATCAATCTCTAAACTATGGTCATTATGTTACTGAGCATAAAGTACAAACATATCGTTCAAAAAAGTGCATATTTCTTCATCAAAAAACCTTTCAAAACAAGAAACAGCATCGGTATGTACACGAGATTGGCTTGGCGAAACAAATGACGGCAAAGTTGGAGTCAAATCACATTTCGCCCAATTTCTTTTAGGCGGGTGATTATAATTTGTGTTGACTAAACGAGAAAGAGGTAAATCGTCTTCGTTACTAGAATTTTCTGTGTCTTCGATGTAAGCGGTTTTATCGAATTGTCTAAATTTTGCAGTCTTGTAACTGTCGTTCACTCAAGTGATTTATATCTGAAGGAAGTTCTTCATCATCACTATCTCCTCAGAGTTTCTTCCATCATTAGGTGGAGTAATATAAATGTCTGCTTCCCAAAACTCATCACTTTCCACCAAATCAATAAGCTCTTTGGTAGAATAGTAATTAAAAAAAGAGTGCACAAAATCACTCCCAGTGTTCCAAAATTGGAACATTCCAAAATAACGGTAAATTACCATAATAAACATATGCAAATTTGGCAAGATCATTTATAGCAAACATTCAACAGACAATATAGTATGTTTTAGTACAAAAACAATTTGAAATTATTTACAATAAAATACAAAAAATACTTACTTCTTTGCAGCCATTTTTGCACTTTAAACATCAGCACAGTAAACTTTGTGAGATTTGCAAACGAGTGAATTCTAACAATGTAGTACACTTCCCAATAACGTATGATTATGACGTATGACTATGACGGACAAGATGAGATCTGCAGAATGCAAAAATCCGCGAAAATGCGGAAGTGGTAGGGTAAAACTGTCGTTGTTCCAATATTGGAACACTGGGCAAAAACGGGTTAAGTCATTTCGAGTAGAATGAAAGCAATAGACAGAAGGTTGCTGTTTTAGAGAGAGGAAAGTATTAAAAAATAAATCACTATTTTAGTTACAATCAATATCTTTTTAATCATTTAATGGATCAATAACAAGATTCTCATATTGTGCCAATCCAGTAACCATAAAAATCGTCCACTTAGGAAACTCATTCAAAAATTCTAAATATTCCCGTTTTTTTGTTTTAGCATCGTCAATGAACTTAGTGGTAATCGCGACATCCGCCACTGGAGTAGACCAATCTGAATCAGTTTCAACAGTGAATTTGAATGAAAAGGGAGCAGCCGTTTTTCCGTATTTAAAAGCCATATAATACGTCGGTTGATCATTCCACATCAAAGTGCTTTCTGGTAGCTTTTCAACCAAACTCAAATTAATCAATTTGTATTTTGTTCGAATAGATAAATACAAATCGATTCTGCTAGAACCCTCCACAGAAAAGCTAAAAGTTCTTCTTGTTGAAGGATCATGTGATGATTGATCTCTTTCGTATTTATAACTGATTCCTGTGTCGAATGGATTTACATTTGTTGGAATCCATATGCTGTTTTCTCTGTTAAATTATATATTTTAGTAAATATCTAATAAGTGAAAAATAGAGGAAAGTGAAAAAAATATATATAATTACAGATTTTTTATACTTCTTGAATTGCTTATAGGTAACCCACAAGCTATAGCAATGTTACAATCGTCTTCCAAAGATATAGCACCATTTAGAGAAGTTACAATCCCTTCAATACTTCTCGGAGTGTTTCTGTCTTGTCGTGTAAAGTAAAACCCAGCGTCATATTTTATCGTATTGGTTTCATCATTTCTAATTGTTCGCATAGTATGCTTAAAATAATGTACAAAAACTTAAATTAGTTTCATTAAAGTTATAAAAACAACTTACATATATAGAAAACCTTTGTAATCTTGGATTCGTTTCGCTAAAAGTATATGGAAATCCAACCGGAGTACAAATTAAAATGATACCAGTTAAGAAAATAGCCAAAATAGTTATTATTATATACCACGGTTTCTTTGAGTAAATAAATAAAGGTACCTAAAAACAAAATTTTAATTTAATCAAAGGATTCAGTTGTTATTTCTTACATAATAAGATGCAATCATAATGGTGAATAAGGCCATGATTAATCCTATCAATAAGTCTGGGTTAGTTCCGGACCCGAATCGTCCGAGAATCGGTATAAATAATGCAATGACTTCATGTCCATAACTATACACGATCATCGTTGGGATTATTGTGCTTAATATGTAAACGTACGGCCAAACATATTTCGTTAATTCTAAAAGAATCAATTATCTATAAAATTTATATAATAAAAGGTGTAGTAGAAAAAAAAATAGTTTAACTATCAATTACTTGGTTTTATGGTGTCTATTATATGGGAAATAATCATTGCTACGATGTTAAATAAAATTCCGATCATCAAAACGTAACTCATCCGCAACTGCATTATCGTTCCAACCATTAGTACCAATGTCCATAATATTCTGACGATGTGGCCTTGTATTAAGGCGTTATATGAATTTGTTAATCCTATCTGAAAGAAAGAAAACGATAATGACTATTAAAATATCTCTAATAATTGGAACAAATTTGAAGATTCATTTTAATATTGTAATTTATTTTGACTCAAACAGAAAATGTATAGTATATTTCTGAGAGGAAACATAGTAAACAGTAACACATAGCATTGCAGACATGAGAACTGCCCAACTTAGATAGTACGGGCATAAACAAAGGTTTGGTCAAGAGCAACTAGCAAAGAAAATACTGCATTGAACATCAGAAGGAAGAAGAAGTAGAGGAAGACCAGGGAGGAGTTGGAGAGAAGGTATTGACGGAGAGATGTGGGTGAGATAGCTGGGGAAGGAGACGTGGAAAACAGAGACGAATGGAGATTGGGAATTGGAAGACGGATAACGGTATATCCCGATGAATATACAGTGTGACCCAAAAAGATCACACAAAGGAAAAATGACACATCGGAAAAGAATTGTAATCAATTGAACACATACCTATGAGAAAGACAAAGTACAGAAAAATTAGAAATTTTTGAAAAGAAGTAAGTCATTATACGAAAAAAGATTTTATCTACAACTATTGAATTATTTATTCGTTATACAATTGATTTTTGACGGGTAATGACACGCATTACCCATGACTGACAAAGTCGAAATGTCTATCAAGAATATTTTTTTTCCTTTTTTTGATTTTTTTTTTTTAAATTAAATAGTTGTAGATAAAGTATAGTATTCAACTTGCGTATAATGGATGTTACCCACTCAGATTACAACACTCGCTCGCTTCGCTCGCTCGTGTTGCAACTTCATCTTCGTGGGTAACAGCCGCCATTATACGCTTGTTGAATAATATACTATAATATCACCCATAACAAAGAAGAAATGGAACTATTTTCTTCATCTCATTATGCGCTAGCCGCAAGAGAAGTTTTAGACGAAATGTTTCCTGAAAAATGGATAGGACGTAATGGACCGGTGAATTGGCCAGTTAGATCACCCGACTTAACTTCTCCCCATTTCTTTTTTTGGGGTTACCTCAAAGAGAAACTTTACAACCAGGTTCCAACAACACCAAACGATATGAAAAACTGTATCAGAGCAGCTTGCGAATCAATAACTGAAGAAATGCTTGGCAATGTGCAGAGAATGTTTTCAATGAGAATTCAGAAATGTTTAGAAGTGAATGGTCATCATTTTGAGCATTTAATCGATGTATAAAGGTAACTCTATAAATTTTAATCAATGTTCTAAGGTGATTTCAAAAATGAAGAAGAATTTTAGTACTATTTTACGATTAATTAAATCGTTTTTTATTAATAAAATTTCTTTAATTACATTTTGAAAAATGTTGTTTTATTTTTCTTTTTGTAGATATCTTCATAACGCAGAATTTAAGAAAAAAAGTATTTAAGCAAAAAATACTTAGTTTGTCAAGTTAAAAGAAAAAAGTATATGTACGATTTGAAAAAATGAAAATGACGTCAGAAGGGCCTTTAGGCAACCCTGAAAAAAAATCTGCTCATGTGTACCCTGTGCCCCCCTTTTCACCAAAAAAAGTTTACTTGAAACTTTTTTCGTTTCAAGTTTATGTTTTCGAGATATAATCATATGTCATTTTAAATGAAACAGTATGTATAAAAAGCAGAAAAACTAAATATGTATGATAATTACTGTGGAATAGCTATTACAATTTCAATTAATAGAATAAAATAGAACATGAATACAGGGAGATGGAAGCTGAAGAACAGATAGAATTTAGAAGTAAATTTTAGAGTAGATCAATTATAGACCATTTGTTCTGCCTAACAAAAATAATCGAGAAGAAAATAGCAGTAAATCAAGCAGTACATTGCCTGTATGTGAATATTAACAAAGCGTATGACAGTGTACCACATAATAAACTACGGATGGCATTACAAAAGACTAACAGGAATAACATTAATAAGAGTAGCAAAACACTATACGACAATTTAACAGTAAAAGTAAGGTTTCAAAATTACCAAAGGACTTAAACAAGGATGCTCCCTATCCCCAACGCTATTTAAAATTTACCTATAGCAAACCCTAAGAAACTAGAAGCGCAAGTATGAGAGAATGGGTATACTTTTAAATGACACCACCTTATATACCCTCTATTTGGTAGATGACCAAATAGTTATTACGCAAGACTACAGAGATACGGACTTCTGTAAGTCGTGGCATAATTTTTATCACAAATACTAGAGTGAAAATGATGATGATTCGTGTAAAAGTTTTTGGTCTAAACCCATAGATGTTTAAGATATGGACTTTCAAAGTTCAAAAGAATTTAAACATTTTTGATATGGTTTGTCTTAGAAAGATAAAATTTAGCAAACAATACAATGTTGTCATGAAAATCGTTTAAGATCACTTTTGAAAGTATGCAACCACGGGATCAATGCTGTACAGGTGTCCACAAAGGTTATCCTTAAAACTTTCTTATTATGTCGTAAACCCTTAAAATTTCCAACTGTTTCTAAAAGCCTATTTCATTTCAAAACTATTTTCACTCGAAGAGATGTTTGATTAGACGCATCGTTTTAGAGTTATTCACAAAAAGATACAACCTCGTCCATGAAATACTGTCACTAATCTTAGGCGGCCATGAAAGTAAATCGTAAGTAAAGCAGTAAAGCAATATGTCAAATTAATGGTCATCAATAAAAAGTATTTTTTCTAAACATGCAGCTGATACAGCATCAGTAGTACATGTTTCCATCATAGTATGGCAATACTGTACTTGCAACGGATGACCAGCAATTTTTAATTCTTGTACTGTCGACAAGTGTTATGGATACAATTGCTGCTCGTGTGGTACACACCAAGCCGTACTTTTGGATATTCGGAAATGTCCGAACTGTTGATGTCAACAGTATCATCATTTGCAATATCATCTCACACTGCGTTAACACCCAACGTTAAAAGCACGTCAGTTTGCTCACTAAAACTGTAATTATTTACCATTTTAAACGACTATTACCGAATAATTTGACAGTTTCTTTACTGCTTCAGTTACAATTTGTTTTCATAAGCACAATGAAATAGGCTTTTAGAATCAGTTGTAAAATTTAAGGGTTTATGACATAATAAAAAAGTTTTAAGGAAATAACATTTGTGAACACTCTGTATAGCATTGATCCCGTAGTTGCATATTTTCAAAAGTGATCTTAAACAATTTTTCATGATAAAATAGCACTATTTACCAAATTTTATCTAAGACAAACCTTATTGAAAATATTTAAGAAAGTGTTTAAAAATTACTTAACTTTGAAAGTTCATACCTTAGTCATTTATGGGTTAAGACCAAAAATTTTTAAACGAATCATCATCATTTTAACTCTACTATTTGAAATGATGCCACGACTTCTAGGAACAGCCTGTATATACTTTCCACTCATATACGGGAATATATGAGTAGAAAACTGATACAGGATTGTGTATGCATGGAATGTACCGAATGGAGTACTCGAGATAAACCTCGAAAAAATGGAGTACAAATCCAAATGTACACATATCTGAGACTGACAATTTCGAATGATGGAATCTTAGACACAGCAATTCAAGAAAGAAACACTTTAGGCAGGAAGGCAGTAAAGATAATGAACAACATAATATCGGACCATAAAATATCACAATTAAATAATCAGAAGATCATCTACACAATCATAAAAAACAGTCTCATATGAAATGGCCATGGAAACACAATTCAGAAAAATATCTTGAAGCCACAGAGATGGACTAAAACCAGAAAAGATAAGAAATGTAAGAATTGGAAATCATGAATGCTATTGTAGATAATATAAAAACGAAACAACTGAGATGAAAACCGCATGGTCGTAGAAAGAGAGGAAGACCATGGACCAGCTACGGAGAGGGAATTGATAAGGAGATGAGAGAGAGAGGTGGAGGAAGAAAGCTGTGGAGGAAGGATAGAGAGCAGTGGAAACTAGGAAACGCAAGACTTCGGAGAACGTTTTGAGTCGATGTAGTAATATTATGCATGTTGGCTTTGATACTTTATACACTATATTTATTTAACCAAATAGAGAATTTAAATATCTTTAAATCCTCTGTACTTTTGTTTGTACAGTTTACTTCTGGTGGATTAGAAGTTGCGTCTATCTTAAAAATATTTTAGGTTGAAAGATCAGAATATACAATTCATACAATCTGAATTCCAACGACGTATTTCAACTACTTATTCAAACTAAATTCTTTTTATGTTCAAATAAAGAAATTGTTAAACCATTTTAGAAGCAAATAATAAAAAGGTAATACATACATTTCGTATATATCTGTGATTAATCAATGATGCAATTAAAAGCGCTGCAACCGCCGGAGCTACATAAATTCCAAAATTAATTGCAGGAACACTGTACCAAGTCATAGTCCTATGGGAAACATCCAAAATAGTCGCAATCAAAGCCACAATTCCTACAGCAAGTAACCAACTTATTAAAGTTATAACTAGTAACACAACAATGTGTTTAAAACTGGTAAAAATCTTCACATGAAGAAAACCTAAAATATTAATTTTATTGAAAAATAAGCTAGTAAAACTAATTATTTATAACTTACCCACCGAAGTTCTCACTAATAACCCACGTTCACTTGTCGTAGGATGTTCACCACAACAGGCCCAAATTAGCAGTAAAAAGGAAACAACTATTACTAAACTATTTATAATAACCCCAGTAGTTTCCGAATAATGTACAAAAAACAATCCGAAAATATCGTAAAAAATCATTTTCCCATCTTCTTCAGTAAAATTTTCATCCAACTCTTCTGCTTCCATTAAATTTCTTGTTAAATGCAATATATTATCACCTGTATGTTGAAAAGCTCCTAATTTGATATTATCAAACCCATCGTATTTTGTATGATATCGATATCCATCTCTTGTGAAAGCAAAATCGTAACCGATATAGCCTCCGTAATCCCTAAATATTCTAAAATCAGTGTCCGAAGGGATAATATTGCTTTGAAACACTTCTTCGCCAGCCGCATTCCCATGGGGGTGAGGAACGTTATAATATTTTAACAACCATGGTTTATCAGGACCCGTTTGAAATAAAATTTCTTTACCACCGGCTCCAGTAGCTTCTAAATTAATTAAAACGCGTACTTCATTCGCCCACGTGTGCGACAAAAATGCATGCGAAGCAATTAAACCGGCTTCTTCGGCTCCGTTAAAAAGAATAATCACGTTATGAGTCGGTTGTTCACTTGATTGAGAAAGTTTTGTTAAAACTTCTAATGCGACAGCTACGTTTATCCCATCGTCACTTCCTCCAGGACTTGTTGGTACAGTATCGAAATGGGTATTAATTAAAACACTTGTGTTAGGGTCATTTTTTCCGTAGATTTTTACCACCACGTTTTGAATGTTTTCGTATGTATTTATAGAACCGTGGGGCTTGTAATCGAGATAAAATGACCCAGAAGCAACTTGATTACGTAATTCTATTTTTTGCTTTACATTGGCTTTTGCTATAATGTCATTAATAGTGTTTGTTAAGTAGTCAACTGCTTTTTCTTCATTGTTGATATGTCCTGCCACTTTTGGACCGATAGCTACTAGTGGCTTTAGATAATCTCTTGCTCTTTCAGCTATAAATGAATTTGGGTTGGCTTCCTGATATTAAGTTTTTTATAGATTAGTGTTTTAACTTATACAGAAAGATAGACATACCTCATCAGATAAATATAATGGTGTAGGCAAATTATGATCAATGGCATAAATACTTCCATACAATCCAACAATAACAGCAATTGCAATTATGGTGAATGGATAAGCTATAGTTTCATGATCTTCTTCATCTTTTTGAAAACTTTTTCTTCCACCCATGGCTAATTGAAAGTTATCTTTAATTTAATTTTAAAATGGTTTTCGTAGAAATATTGTCTAACTGCTAAGATGGCATCGTACGTTGAACTATCACCTAATTGGCACCTTAGATACTAATGTTTAAAAAAGTAACGAAAATAATATATTGAAATGATTGCGTTGAAGTATAATCCTGTCTGATTAGATTTGAGTAATGATTGCGTTATCGGTATGCATAAATGCCTTAAGAGATAACAACTCCACTGAAAAAGGTCATTTGGCTTTTAGCATATTTGTGATTTATTGTCGTATAATTTAGATTAGTTCAAGGCAGAGTTTTATAATAGATAATATTGTTATCACGGTACATAAAAATAATTTCTTCTAATCTAGTGTCTTATCAACACAATTTTATTTATGTTATCTCTAAAATCTCTCTTAACTATCTCTAAAAAAGTTCGCACAATTGCAACAAACTAAATGTAATAGAATTTATAAATATAACCAAATAAAGATATATATATATAATATTATCTAAATATCATAAAATGACCAGATTTTTAGTTACTATAACACAATTCAATCGGACCTTTACTTCTTTTAATTTTCTAAAATTAGGTAAAACGCTTATAACTTATTTTACAATCGAATAAACAGATTTCATTGTTGTTATAAAGGCAGTTGTATGTATTTTTTATGTACAGATGTTAGTACTTTCACATACCCACATTAAAAATTAAAAGTACCTAACTTACAATAAAACATAAATAGCAGTGATATCAACAGATCAATAAGATTTCCCACAAGTATTGCTTACAATATCGAAAAGATATTCCGGAATTACGATATCTTGTTCATTTACAACAATCACCTTTACTATAAAGATAACATCACGTTTTTACATAAACAGAATAAAGGTTTTAAACTTAATTGCCTTAATGATTAGATGTAAGTTACCGTAGATAAAGTTCCCGTTTATAAATACATTAATTTAAATTATTGAGATTTTTTTGAAAACGTTTTATTTAATTCCTAATAATTATTATAAAACAAAGCAAATAAAGTTTAACACGAGTAAAACAACGACAATTTAAGTACAGTGTGTTAATTATCGTACCCGACGTCATCATTGCAAGTATGCAACCAATATCACAGTACTGATATTGCAATACGCGATTTGGGTATTCACATATATTCAGTGTGATATTGGTTGCATACTTGCAATGGTGAGGTCGGGTACGATAATTAATTAACACACGGTATATGACACATCGCACAGTCAGCAATAAAAGGAACGTACTTAACGCAACGGAATGAAAACTGAACTGACTTGCGTTGCATCAATTACCGGTATTTATTGCTAAATATAACTGTCAGCTATGTGTTCAATAAAATAAATTAAGAGACTGCTACAGGTGGTAACTCCTCCTATTTTAGAGTGAGTCAAAGGTTGGGTTGGCTTGCACCCAAAACTTAGGTCAATAGTTGTTTATTGCTCCAAGTATTTTCTTTCTTTTTATACCAAAGTGCAACAACAGATTAAAAGACTGATTACTGTTGTACTAAGCAAGGTCATTGAGCTTCCTAGACTTATGAAAATCTACTTCCGTGAAATTTTCTTTTGCGTCATTAATACGTTCTAATTGGGGATCCCTTATCTGGACATTATATTCTTTTTAATTTTAATAAAATAAACTAATTAAAATGTGGTACATCCTCCACAGTGGGTAATAAATTCGATTAATGGAATTTGTGGCAGGAAAGTGAGAACATGATCTTTCATATACGATTTTACTGTTTGTGAATTTTGCTGGTTTGCACTGGTTGTAAATAATTCTTAACGATTCTGTTTTTATTTATCGATTTTATTCCCCATCTCAGAACCTGACAAGAGATCATCTAAGCACCTTTCTTTAGTTAGTGAGTCTATCGACCATTGCTTAAGAAAATGATACATGTCATTTTCAGGGGAATTGTTAATCACACCGTAAATTTGTGAAATTACATCGATCGGTAAATTTATAATAACAAGATTATACTTTAATTTTTCGTTAAAAATTCTAGATATGGCGAATTGTTCCACAACTTGGGCGAACTAAATTTCTGGTTCGTTGATCCAGAAAGGAGGTGGTTTGACATGCGAAATATTATGTATTGGGTTGTCGGCATTAGATTGATCGTCTTGCTGCATTTTGAATAAATAAACGCTATCATAGAAAAGATATCAAGAAAACTTTGAAAAATATTGAATTTTGACAATATCTTCAGTTCTAATTATTTCGTGAGAGAAAAAATAACGCGACTACCCACCTACAGCTTGTATAAAAAAAAAATATATCCGAAGAGATCAAAAGCAAGTATGAAGATCCAAATGGGACGCTGGAAACTTGGAAGGTTTTGAAACTAAAAATCTCTAAATCATCAATTCAACTTTCCAAACCCTCCACCACTACAATTTATAAAGTGTTGTTTTGAAGCATAAAAATTCACGTGCAAGTTGATCCACAACAACATTATTAGGTACATGATGACAAACGACAACTAATTTAGTTTCAAAGTTACTCATAGACGACTGTAAAAGCTTCTACAGACTGATGAAATGTTTCTATTTTCCCTATCTATTTTGTTAGCATCGTTGTCCGGTGCTAACAATTACAACATTTTCATTGATCATCCTTAACCCAATAACACATTGACATCGAGTATCTTGAAAATAAAAATCGATCAGAAATAATTTTATTCTTTCACTTCGACCTGAGATTCATGAAGTTTAAATTTTGTTGCCTGCTTTTTTACGTAAAGTACTACATGTTGTTTTGATTTAGCATTTGCTTTAAATATGCTATAATTGGTTATTGTTTGCCGTGTTTATCCACTAAAGTTAAGATAATAACTAAGAAAACTTATAAATATATAAAAAAGACTACACGATGAACTAAACAAACAGCGGTATTACCATTCGATTTCAAACAAGGACATGCAAAAGTCAGCAACTCTAGAGATTTTAAAGAAGATGGTTTTGAGAACAAAATGTAGACATCAGCTCAGCTTTTGTGGCAATTCTAGAACATCTTGTATAAGGAACTAACAATAGTTGTTTAAATTGTAGCTGAGAATTGAAAATTGAAATTAAGACGAGTTGCTATTAAAATTTTGTTATATTTTTGTGTTTGCTTGTGTAACAAAGGCAAATATTCGCATTGTATATGGCATTTTTCTTAAGCACATTACTTCTGAATACACCTATTTTTTGTTTAAACATCCATACATTTTGAATTATAATATTGTAGTCACCAAAAGCATTCTAGAAATATAAAAGTAAGTGATCTACTAACAGTATACAATTTCTTAACGAATCAATACTGTGTATTTTACATACAGTGCTAGCGTAAAGTAACCCCCCCCTGTTTAACTTCCGAACAAATTGAGATATCACTATGAACAAAAAAACGTCAGTTTCTATATTTTATCAGCATAAATATTTTCTTATGGAAAATTTTGCCATCACTTTTAGTTTTTCCGGAAAATAGATCAACTTTGTTTTTTTAAATGGAACACCCAGTATATTATGGTATCTTCCGAAAGATGAAAACAATACGAATCCAACGGTACCTCACAATCAAATATCGGTTTATTAGTTTTTCGCATAAAAATTAAACAAAATGCGGAATTTTGCCGGAAAAACCAACGTATCTTCGTCGACTACCTGTCGAAATGCAATCGGCCAGGTAAATGGTGGACGGTCGGTATACGCTCGAGCTAAGACGGATTTAAAATTGCAAGTTCAATTACTTATTTTTTTTAGAAATGAAATAAAAGTTGTTTGGAAGTATATTAAATTTATGAATTAATCATATTTTATCAAAAAATATTTATAAAGAAAAAAAGTCAATATAAGAAATGAAATTTTCTTATTAAAGATTTTGCTAGTATAGGTAACGGTTGAAAAATTTGCTTAGTGTTGTTATTGAATAATAAAAGAATTTTTTATTTATTAAGAATCAAATATTAAGTAAATTGTTCGATATGATTACCTTGAACTTCTAGGCAGTGGTACCATCTTTGTAGTGTTTCCTCTCTCACACGGCTTAACATGTGATCAATATTTTGGCAGACGTCAATAATTTTTTGTTTTAAATCCTCAATACTACCCAACGGAATTTCATATACCTTGGATTTTAAATAACCCCATAAAAAGAAATCTAAAGGTGTCAGATCTGGTGATCTTGTTGTCCATTAAAATTTTTATCAAGATAATTTCGTACCATTGGCGCATAATGTGGAGGTGCTCCGTCTTGATGAAACACTAGTTCCATTTCAAAATCGTCAGAATTCTGTTGTACAATTTGCAAAAGTCTTGAAAAAAAAACATTTACTTTCTAATGAAATTGAGTGATAACGTCACGATATTCATGTGGATTAACATCACGCCGATGCAATTTTCCACCCAAAAAGAAAGTACATTCATCACTGAAACAAATATGTTTCAAGTATAATCGATTTCGTTCAACCATATTTGTCATTAGCTCACAAAATTCTGTTCTTCTATATCAGGGTCATCTTCTGTTAATTCATGAAGCATTTTTATTTAAAATGGATGATATTTATTCTTCTTTAAGTATTTCCACGTCTTCCAACAACGACGCGGAAATATTTAACACATCACACGTTGATGCGATAGCAGCAGACGACATCATGGGCACATTAAATACTTCTGTTAATATCTGACGACCAGTTCTTTTGCGGTCTTCGACGCTTCCAGTTTCCAAAAACTTATTCACAAGCTCTCTTAAATATTTTCGACTAATTGGATGTTCAGGAAATCGTTCCTTAAATTGTCGCCCTGTTTCATGTAGATTTCTGTCAGCACGAGCGAATATTAAAATTGCTTCGATATTGTGCTCTAAACTCCTTCTAGCCATTTTGATCTCGCCTTTCTTTGGTTATACTTGGTCGGGTAGAATTCAAAGATAGAAATGAAGGAAAATATTTGCATGCTGCCTTAAATACAAAATTTCAAAGTACCTACAAACTTTAAAATTGTTGTTATGACAATTTTTTCTTAGAAGTTTTAAAAAGAACTTTCTTTTTATCCTTTTCTTGTATTGATTGTTTCAT